TCCCGGAAATGTCCGAAGTGGCTCGGATTCGTGGGAAACGAAACTGACGTGGTCAAGTGACGCTTCCCGCACGCTAGATCGGTGCGTAATAAGGTATTTTACAGAAGGAAGTAGACAAACTTTTTAACTCACTCTAAACACTCACTCCACTGTGCTCCGCTCGTGTCAAATAAACTCGTGAGTCAAATGCCGTTTACCGCACTTGTTGCATATTTTAATGTTTCGGAGTTATCAAAGTGATTGCGACTTTTTGCATTTCTTGGGAATTCACACTCGATTTGTTCTGAATCGAATCAGATACTTAAATTATGTTGAATGTAGTTGAATAAGTAAATTTCTTTGCTATAAATGGATATGATAAAATCGAGGTCCTACACACATAAAATTTATGAAAGATTTTAATTAATTAATTGACATTTGTTGATTAACGTAAGAAATTTCGAAACAAAATATTTTAAATGTTATACCGAAATTGGAAAAAGTTAAGAAAGCACAACATATTTTACAGGGTTAATTTCAATGAGATATTAGATGATTAAAAATAAATAATGCATATTTTTAAACCGACATTGCTGCAAAAAGTTAAAAATTTCAAATTATTTTTTAGTTATTTTGTAAGACATATGAAGCATTGGCCTTTCGTTGGCATTCAATAGTAAGTGCTGAGTATAGAAACAAAAACCAAAATCGATGACATGTAGTTTTTGCAGTGAATGCTTTCTTTTTTGCTTATGTCTTTCCTTTTTTGCGCAAAATCTACTGATATGAAAATTGTTCTCCTATATACATTTTTCAGCTTTATTTTATTTATTATATTTATTTGTAGACATTTATAAGACTTCTATCAAAAAAGCCAACCGCGCGTACCATTCAAATGAGATCAGCCAAGCGAAGAAGAAATTAATAAGCTTCATCTATTTCATAAACACATTATTTTTATTCATACCCTAGAGGAGACAGATTGGTACTATGACCCTCTTTATGTTCCATTTTTAATTTTAACATGTGAAGTGGCATCTTCCGCTACAAGTCTAATTGTGGTTATCGCGCCTTTTCGGAGATTCAGAGATAACAAGTGGATTGTTCCAACTTTACTTCGATCAAAATAAATAATGTACCAAAAATAAGTAACTATACATTAGTGGTCTGATATTTGCTTAATTGTATACCTAATTGGGTTTTTCTTGAATTTTTGATAATGATCTTTTTGAAGTGGAGGACTTTCCAATTTATTTTTGTATCATAAAATCCTTTGTTTAGTGTTTGTTAAAGCTGAAAAAATCAGACGATCTCGAGAGCGCTCAAAGTTGAGTGACATCATATGCTTTTGCTTTATGGGCTCATCAGCTGATTAGCAATCTCAGAGTTTTCATCTGCATTACTTAGCATTGTTATACTTTTATTTACTTTGTTGCATAAGTATTTCCTGGTTGACATTGAGTATAAAATCGCATATGGTTTATTTAAGTACTAGAGTTAATCATCTTCTTGGGTGCTCTCTAACACGTCATATTCCAATGCCTTGTGGAAGCAACAAAAGCAATAATGTGGCATGCAAAACCGAGCATTGCAAAATTTGGTGTTTTCTAGATCGCAGAATACAAAATGTTCACGGGCCTAACATACAGACGGAAACCATAAATTTCAAGCTTCCCCATAATAATAGATCAGAACATTGTTCTTCAGTTATAGCATGTGTAGTACATATATGTATTGATGTATACCAATTTACCGCAAAGCAAAAGAAATAGCCTTCAAAATTGTTGACATTTGGAACCAAAATATATTTTTTTATATGCATTTATATAGAATAAGTCTTCGAACACCTTTCTTGACCATCGGGCGGATGCCTTGAACCCAGACATGGGCTTTGAATTATCAGACCAATTGCGGTTTCTCGCTGATACAAAAAACCGAACGAGAGTTGGAAGCTCGCCGTCTTACGTTTTATCGACCCGACTGGACTATTTTTAGATCCGGAATAGTTCTTAAATGAAGTTTTCGTCGCTGGCAACGATCTAGCTAGGTCAATGCTGTTTATCGGAATTTGGCTTCCCGGAGGTTGGGCCGAACTCGATGATCCTTGGTTGTGGAAACGGAAAAGGTTACAATTATTATGAAAATTGTATTCCGTTACGTCCGCGAACTTCCCCGATCGTTTTAGAAGCGCTAAAAATAACCGTGGCTACTCCAAAAATAGACTTTGCGTTTAAAAAAGGGGAACGTATAATCCAAGGGTAGCCAAGGTCCTTGATAATCCGAACCGCTTTTCAAAATTTGAAATTAAATACATATAAACTTAAAATGTCTACAAAAAATCTATTCAGTTTTTCTTTTTATTGAAAACAAATAAATAAAAGTACAAAATATATGTGCATTTAAATACATTTATTTTACTTCTCTTTTTCATCAGCATAGTGTGGTTTGATTAGATCATATCTATCAAACAGGTTTCAAAGAATATTCTGAAATAATACATATTCCGATCAGGTTGCATTGCGTTCCCAAAAGGCTCCATTTTAGGGCCATTGATCTTTTTAGTTTATACCGCTGACACTTTGAACTTGTGCAGTAGGGTACAGGTATTTGCCAATAACACGCAGCTCTATTATTGTGTTGATACCCATGACTATGTTGAGGCGGAGTCTAATATAAATCGCGATTTACGTAGTACAAGTGACCTTTCTAATGGCCACAACCTCAAAATAAACCCTACGAAATCATGGGCCATGATTTTCGGAAGTAAAAACAAAAGTATGCCTTTAGTCGGTAAAGTTAATGACACTAAATTAAAATTTGTAACCACTGCAAAGAATCTGGGGTTATATGGGATACTCAACTTCAGTTTAAGGAACATCTAAAATCTATTTTCAAAAAAACCTACTGTTCATTAAAGATGCTTTATAATAACGGGCATATACTAGGCAAAAATTTGAGAAAAAACTTACGTAAATCACTTTGTCTACGGTTTTTGCGTGGATCATGAGGGCTGAAACCGAATACAAAGAGTTAGAAACTCATGTCTCCGTTTTGTCTATGGAATCCGAAAATTAGATCATATATCATCATCATCTTTATAGCCATATAAATTGGCTAAGAATGAATGCTCGTAGAAAGGGAGGTCTACATTTTCGTTGTTTTTTAATAAAAATTATTAACGAACCCCTTGCTCAGACCTCTATTCGTGAGCGAGTATTATTTCGTTCTGAAGTACGTAAGTTAAATATTAGAAGTACTACTAAACTCACAATATAACGCAGTGCGTTTTTAAAATTCAGTACCCAAACTCAATTACACATATACATTTTTTTTGTCAAGTTCGGTTTAAGCTAACAATAACATTTTCATATTGCAAAACTGTTTATTTTTTTATAGGATTTTTGTTATATAGGTACTGACCCGAAGTTGTAGTGATAAATTTATTGTAATATACCCTTTTTAGTGATACATTACACAATAAAAGGCACTTATTACTTTTTACAAAACGTCCGGGTTCCTCCTGCGTCGGTTTTTGTCGAGTTTTTGCCGATGTCGATTCAGCAAAAACCGACGCATGAGGAATCCAGTAGTTTTTTAAAAAATATTACAGTAGCCTGTGGAAGTTTCTTTGTAAAATTAAAGACATTTAATATTACTATTATTTATTTTTATTACATTTGTCGAGAGCTACAAATAATCCTTTAAATAATCGGAACAACGTAAATACTAAAACTTTATAACTAAGAAGGTTATAATAATAATAATCACAGCTGAACTAAACGCACACTACATATGTCGAATGCGCTTGATACTGGCGGAGAGACATCAGGGAAAGAATTAACATTTCTCTTGGTTTTACTTTTAAGTGATACTTTTTACTTTAAAGTGATACTAAAGGAAATATGTATTGCTGAATATGGCACCATTTAGTACTGGGGCTTATAATTTATTTATCATATAAGGAATAATCTATTTATTCATGATCGATACTTCATTAATTTTTATAATTAAAGAATGTACGTTCATTATCATATTAAGAAATACCAAACAATTTTATCTTTAAGCCTCCATTTAGGTTTCTGGGTATATTTCAAAATATATACATATGTTCATATTTCGGGGGTGAAGAACAGGAAGAATGATATAAGCAAAAGTTTGTTTGGCTGAACTTCCACTAAACGTAAGACATTACCTAGTTGTTATATTAGTGATATTGAGAATACAATTTAATTTAATGGATATAAATAAAATGTTATATTATAAAAAATAATTAGGAACAAAGAACCGCGGTAACCGTTTCACAAATGCAAGTGTTAAATAGGAGATTTTATTACTTTTTATAAAACTTCTGAATTCCTCCAGCGTCGGTTTTTGTTGAGTTCCAATTGAAGTCCATTTGAGATGCCAGGAGTTTACAGCATTCCATGCATCTGCGGCAAAGAATACATTGGAGAGACCGGACTAAAAATATCAACTAGGCTCAAAGAACATGAAATAAACTCAGCAGTTGCCGAACACAGTCACGAAACCGGACATAAAATTTTATTCGATAAAACTAAAATTCTTGCATGTAATCCATTATCCGAGACGTTGTTTATGTCCCTCATTTAGCTCCGCCTCCTCAAACATCATTTTATTTTTTGCATATACATTTAAAACTGTTTTTTGATTATTTTTACAGTGAAATATATTTTACTCTTAAACATAACCTCGAAACAAATATTACTTAAGAAAATAAACGTTATTTGCCTCTCACTCTGTTTAGGAAAGCAAAAAAATATCTTCTTTGAATTGCATCTCTTATTGCCGCAGCTTCTAGCAGCACAGACTTGTAAAGTTAAGCAACACAAACTTTAACAATTCCGGAAAAACGACTTTGTCACTGCCTTCGTTCGATTCTAGAAAACACACCAATAACGCTCGTCTGTGCCGACATATTCTCTCCTAAAAGGCGGATCTAAGGCAATGCGCTTAATTATCCGCGAGTTCAGCGGTGTTCAGTTTGTTCCATATTGTTACAGGTTTACAGTTGCGCAGTACTGGCGGGGTTGAAGGCGAGGGGCGGATGCCGGTGAGCGATGGGCAGGCGCGGCACCACAGTGGCGGCGGGGGCGGACTCTGCTACGACCCCGAGTACGCTCGCATGGAAGCTTGGCTTGATGAGCATCCCGATTTCGTGCAAGATTATTTTCTCAGGTAAATTAAAATGAAAGTACCAATGTTGAATTTATAATTTTAATTTTGCTCGGATGTTATTAAAATATATAAGGCTAATACAAGTAACAAGTAACCTGCAGAAGAATTGTGGTATATATAAAATAATACCCAATTCTAGTGGAATTTCAAAGAATTGTAATTTGGAATAGTCTTTATTAGCCGATTTTTTGTGGAGATGTAACGGAAGGGTACTAATGAGAAAGTTGTGGCATGAAATAAGGTTTAATTAAGGCCCTCTACATATTTTGTCAAAAAATATAATACCATCTCGAAAAACCGCCGAATCTAAGTTTCATGTTGACATTTTAGAAACTGCTTGAGCCACAGGCAGATAACAATTTCGAGTATCTCACTAATAGGTGAAATTTTACTATGACAAATTTGGCTCACTATTTTCATAAGTTTTATTTTTTATTATTGCTTTTTGGCTTCCTCATTACGACCACCCAGTATGGTATATGAATATTAGTATTTAATTAGTACTACATTTAGCAATTGGCACATTTCTGTATATTGTTTAATACCTTGACATATAACTACATATTAACTTATACCTTAACCTGATGATGCCTGGTCAAGAAATTCCGAAGTATTACACTGGAATTACGCTGTACACTCTCGGCTCTGCGGTTTATCCCTCAAGGTAATATCCTAACAAGTAAAAAACAGTTCAAAAAACGTGTCAATTTTGAAAGTTCCCTATGAATGAGTAAGGCCGAAAGTAACTCGAAATCAGGCAAGTATTGTTACCTTTTTCATGACAATAGTGCGAACAATGTGAACGTTTTCTGCTAGTCTAGTATCTCCTCTATCTACAAAGAATTGAAAGGATTGTCTTTTGCAATTATACTTGATCTTTTTTCTTGAATTAAAATACTATTTATCATCTTTTATTCCACGAGCAATATATAGTTTTAATTTTTATGGAAGGCAGATATTTCCTTTCCGCCCCAGCAAAAATGCAAATTAAATGCCATCGATAAATTTTAGAACTGTTCTGTGGCCGCTACGGCACGAGTAATAAAAATGTCTCGGTTTTCTGTCGCCGTTTACATTGGATAAAGAAAAAAAGAAACCATTTTAATTACGTGCATTTACGGAAAGGCGAAATAACGGTCGGGGACCGACGAAACGGAAATGAATATTTCATTTGGAATCTTGCAGAGACGGTCCTCAGTCTCTCTCACATAAAAAACAATCAATTGAGAATTGCCATCATTTTTCATCGATCGCTTTAGGATTTATTGACTTATTAAAAATTCGTGACTTTGATAGTAATTTATAGATTTTATTCTGGCTGTATGAACTGTTTACTGAAAGTCCGCAAAAAAGTTGCCAACCGTGGTCACGTGACTTAAGTTGTAGCCATGTCCACACTAGTGGTAATGTAGTTGGTAATTTTTTCCGATATCCCGTCTACAGGGTCCTGCTGTTTTTAGTTTTCTGGTACCAAAAGCTATTACCGAACGTTCTCAAAAGTGGTCTATAAATTCCGTTGTATTAAACAGATGTAATCATTTTTGGCATTTGCCCTTACGCGTCCGCCATTTTGGTGATCCACCCTTACTCTCCTCATGTCTAATGTAAGTTTCCGGTCTTAGTAATGTCGGTCTACGCGCCTTCTCCTGCGGCGTGACCATAACATTGCAGAGCTCTGTTTTCTAGTTTTCTTGTTATTCGACCGTTCTTGTTTTATTTATTATTGTTGTTGTCATTTATCTGCTTTGCTTCTTAGAGCGTCTATTAAAGGTGATTCTCGCGGATGTTTTTAGAAGCCCAGAGACCAGTCGTATTGCTTAGTTTTCGCTAACTAGTAGTAAACAATTGCACACTTTGCCTTTAATTCTTGTCAAATTAATTTCTTCTTTTGGTAAAATTTAGTAAGTTATGTCATAAGCTAATGGCTAAACTATCACCTCAAAAACGTGGTTGTGTTTTTTTACTCACTCACAGGAATTAAGCATATTAAAAAAGTTTTTTAATACAAAACAACGGTTTTAAAACCAATTTTTTCTATCCGCATCACCAAAAGATTCGGGAACGAGTAAATTTTTATTTTGCGGTAGCGGAGTCGAACCTTGTGTTTGTAGACCTTTACTGACGGCTTATCTGGTATTTGGTGGATTAAAAATTTCAATTTTGTCGGTGCATTAAGGCATACAAAAATTTTCATGGAACAACGGAATAAACAAAGCTCAAATCATTTTTGTAATGTGATACGTAATTGTAAAGATTAAAAAAATTAAAATCGTTTGACAACAAATCCAGAAGAGTTCCACAAAAAGTTGGTGTTATTGATGTACCAAATTTCAGCTATAATAATTTCAAAAATTGTGGGAGATAAATTAAAAAAAACAAATAACAAAACATATCGTTTTTTAGTTGGCCCTCCGATTGATTGTCAAGAGAGGCAGATCGAAAACAGACTCGTAAAATAGGGTTCATTTTCAGCTCTCATCTGGAAGACAATAAACTATCATAAATGTTCTCCGGGACCATTAGTGAAAGTCATCTTTGATTTACTAACCGTGACCATTAAGAGGCAACTAGAACCACCTACTTTATTTCCCTTCAAAGCGAATTTCGACGCTCGCGTTTCTACGATGAAGACATGAATCATTCGGCGCTTTTCGAAATTCGATTATCTGTGTTTAATCCTGTTCGGATGCTCCGAAAATTCAATGAAAATTGTATGAAAAACTAATCGTGGAACTCCCGATTTATGATGGTGCGCGATAGGAAATTGGGCAGATAATCGAGTGGATATTTTTGGATGAAGGAAAATGTGCCGAGAGGCATTTTCTATGGCCGCTAAGTGTTATTTGTTCGTGCGTCTGATGGAATTGTCTCTCAAATTCCGACTCGAAGATACTGCGGAATTTATTTATTTAAGTTCTTAGCGCCGGTTCAGGCAGACGCGCAAGTTTTAATGGAAAATTTATCGAATTTCTAATACATCCATGAAGTGCGTGGAGTACCTAACAGACCAAAACTTTGAGTTAACGAACGTGAAAGCGAAAACAAACAATTTTGATATTCACAATATCGAGTTAAAACACGAAAGATTTTATTTCGAAATTTTAGAGTAAAATTTAGTGTGGAATGTTCTATTTTACACATTTATATTAGGTGAAGATTTAATCGGTTTTAAAACCATTTTGGTAACCAATGTAAATAACTTTTTGAGGTCATTGTTTAGTTTTTTATTTGTGAGAACCGAAGTTACCAAATTCTTCTGATAAAAGAAGAAGATCGAAAAAGAATCATGTAGTGGATAAAAAAAAGAACAAAGAGTGCAATTTTTACCAAAACAATAGTTTAGATTTAAAAAGTTGTGTTTTTGAAATGCCTAATTTCAAAAGTTTATGTCAAAATTTCGTATTTTCAAGTTATCCTTTGAATTTTTAAAATTTCTTGTTTTAACTCGAAATTTTTTGACCAAAGATTAACACACGGTGTCCCACGTCGGGTGCTGGCTAAAAAAGAATTGAAAGTTTCACATATGCATGACCTAAAATTATTTTTATATATACAGGACGTCTCGAACATTAAGGTTGCGTTTTTTCTTATAGAATCTTCTACTTCTTTATAGTTGCAGAATGAAAAATTTGTGTTAGTATCGTATGTATCTACGGAATGATCCACTGTAATTCAAAAACACAATTCCCCATCAAAAATTAAATCGAATGGACCTGCAACTCGTATCATTTTGGAAAAACAACTATAGAATATGCTATACAAAATATGTTACTTAACCTTATTCTTTTACGCTAAAAACACGATATTTTTATGCAAAATTTCGAGTTGCCACGGGAAATTTTAAGCTTTACTTTTATGATGAGCCAGTTCTACGATTTCGTGCATTATTTTAACATTTGATTTTAGTCTATCAACTACGTACTTTAATTGAAAATGCAACATGGGGACACATTATGAAAAATATGAATATTCGATCAAATGAAGCCGCGTTCTGTTTGTTGAGAGAATATATTTACATAAAAACATCAGATTAGATGATACATTAGGAGAATATGAAATTGATTTAAGGTAGAATACATACTCTGATTATTACTTTCAACTAAAATGTTTTAATCACGTTGTTTACAAACTACATTAAACACAAATAAAAATTGGGATATTCAATAACTGAATAATAGGCGTTGTTTAATTTTATAAGTTTTGTATTTAACAAAGCGTTCGTAAAATATAATTACTATGCTAACAGAAGATAAAAATAATAATTTGAAGTATGTACTTAATGTAATTTTTATTAAAAAAATTACAGGACAACAAACAAACAACTAAAATTTTATAAAATCAAATTGTTTACAAACTAGGGAAAGATATAAATAATATATTTTTATTAGAAAATTTGCAATTATTACGTTGAATTAAAAGTTAAATTGAAAAAATTACATTTGAAAAAGTATTTGTTAGTGAGATAGGACAGAATAAAATTAAATTCTCATTGATAAATTTTGATACTTGAAATATGACTGAAATTGCAAAGGTTGTGATTTAAAAGTATTTGTTACAAGGTTAGTTAAAACTTCATTAACTGTTTGCTGAGAGAGTTAAAAATTATTTAAAAAAATTCCTGGATAATTGTTTTTTTTTCAAAGAAACTTCCACAGGCTACTCTAATACTTTTTACAAAACATCTGGATTCCTCCTGCGTCGGTTTTTGCTGAATCGTAATTGCTGACGTTTCGCCAATCATCCTGTTAGCTTCTTCAGTGCTTGACTGAAACCGGATAATTGTGCTTTTTCTGCAGTGTTTCCGATACTTTCGGTCAACTGCTTAGAATTATGTAAACTTAAGAGGAATTCATTGCATCAAAATTTATCATACAAGTTATAATTTTCCAAAATCTTTATTGAATACCGGAAATAAGTGAGTGAAATTACCTTAACGATAAACCTAGAAATCAGAACTTTCAGGTAATGTTACTGTCTCTCACACCGCAAGTGACAGCCTACTGAAAATATGTATTTAAGAATAGGGTATAGCATATAACCATTATTTCATAACCAACATCTCAGTATACTTGAACGGTTTGCGTGAAATACCTCGTACTTACGTATATTGTCAAAGAACGGACCGCCTGCTTTAAACTGAAGAAATTCCATCGCATTCAGTGGAAATTCGAATACTCCACGGGCATTATTATTGTTGTGAAGGGAACGAAGTTGAAATTCATATTCGACGTCGTTTCTGATCCAGAAATAGATTCGACATTCCAGACATTAAAAGCAGCGCGATCTTAATATTTGAAGTGGAATTTTAAAGGCTCTCCTCGCCCATTCTGTCAATTTACATACAATTTTAAAGGAACGCGCGGATGCCGTGTTTTTGAAAATTACGCGGCGAAAATATTAGACCGTCCCGACCCACGGACTCACATTTTTGATACCGGAAACATTATAAATAACTAAGTTTATTACACACGGTGTTGTTGTAAACCTTTGGGTGCCTTGGTTATTTCTAATTTGGATATTTTAGTGCACCAATATTATTTTTTTAACATTCCGATTTAGATAATTTCGATGTGGAAAAAAGTGTATAAAAAGATATATATCTTCGATTATATTTATTTAATGGAGTGTGGCAGTTATAACCCAAGAAAATGTTGCCGAAAGTCTACCATATGCATTCAAAGAACTAATGCTGAGTATGAAAAGGCTTAAAATATTTTTTTTTATTAGGACACTTGCTATTCCGCACTTTTCGCATGTTGTGTGTATGTAAATCTCTTGCGATTTGGATTTTTTCATCTGATTTTGCTTTCGTCTACGATCGGCGAATATGTTATTTCATCCGTCATATTTCGCTGACTTGCTAATTTCATATAAGTTTTCTGCTTGTTCAATCATTTTATATAACCAGTTACGACTGATAAGTTCAGTAAAAATTGGACAGTTTCAAGTTCTGAAATCCTAACAGGTGAAGTAGAACTGTCATGTCAATGAAGTTGATTTTCATTTGCCACTAAGCTATCGGTGCTGAAGGTACATCTCGACTCCAGTGAAGTTTTTCAAAAATTCGACAATCCGTTTTTTATTTAGGTCGTTTTTAAAATTGAAAACTCTATTTGACAAAATAAATAAGAACTAAAAGTTCAGATTTTCACGAAATTATATATTTTTATATGACAATTGTTTCGACAAGGCCGGGTCTTTATCAAATTGTTAATAATTTAACTTTTAGTTCTTATTTATTTTGATAAATGGATTTTCATCAAGTAAAAGTCATCTCAGTTCAACTCTATTTGAGGCCATGTTGCAAAGCCTGTATCCTTTAACGGTGGTGTACCTACAAGTTCTCCCGCTTGCGAAAGTTTCTCTGAAAAAATACCCAGTTCAATTATTAAATGAAAAAAAATCCAATTCTGGATGTGTTTAAACAAGAAATGTGCTACAAATTTTTCGAAGCTTTTTAATATCGACCATATCCAGTTATGGTCTTACGTAATAATAAGACCTAATTCATTCATGACACGTTGACTCGTGCCTTTTTTCAGGAAAGCAACGAGACAAGCAGTTGACAGCTGGCTGGTATCGCATGCCACTCCTGCGTCATCAAACGCAGAACTATCGTCCCCAACCCATGGAGCGCCTTCGAGGGGCGGTTCCGGTGCCACCACCCCCGTGCGAAAAATTTCCGCTCACGAGTTCGAAAGAGGTGGCTTGCTGAAGCCTATGATCAGCACGGTACGAACGGTGTTTGTGTTATCCGAAACTGTCGTTTCTAATATTCGATTGTTTATAGGTCGATGGTCAACCTACATTTTTAACCAGCACAACCGAAGGTCAGGAAAATAACTTGACGTGTTCGAGTCCGACTCCGTGCAGGCGACAACGACGAAGTCGGCACGAGTTGAGGCAACTGGATGAAAAGGAGCTTATTTTCGAGCTGGTGAGTTTTCATTTTTGCGGTATCTAATATTTTCATATCGGACGCGGATGGCAGCACTAACAAGCTCTGGCACCGAGCATTGGTAAAACAAGTTTAACTGAGTGTTTATTGATATTTCCACTATCACACCAACACCACACAAGTTTAATTGAAATCTTATAGGTTATGGTTGTAGATCACAAACTCTATTCCAGTCTGTTAAATCAAAACCATCGAAACTATGATTCTTGCGATGGCGAATTGAATTTTAGACTCCACTTTTTCCCATCTTAGGGTAAACTCCCAATATGGAAAATTTAGAAAAGGGACAAAATGTACACGCCAAGCCGAACTTCCTCTTCAGTAATGATCTCTATTCTACAACACGGTGTCTTTGCAATAATCATTTTTTATCTGGACCCCATATCCAATGTCACCAAACTATAACTAATGTTTAAAAATACAGTAAAATGTTCTAAGTTAAGTTTAACGTAAAGTTTACATTATGAAACATACTATATTAGATATAAATTCAACCGAAATGAAGGTTCCAAGAGCCTGTAAGTAATTCATAAATGCCATTTTTAGGCATGCAACATTAAACTAACTAGCCTGGCAACACCGTATTGTCTTTAGAAAATATATAACAGGTAGTGCCTATCCTCTATTGATATTAGGACTCGTGTTGCTTCCTATGATACTGTTGACAACCGCCCTGAATAAATGTACGGCCATCATTCCCGTCCACTGTTTCGTTAGGACCTCTCCTACCATCTATTTTGTCATGCAGAACTAGTTGGATGTTGATACTTCTCGTTACGCCTTCACACTATATATAATTTCCATATAGGAGCATGAAGAATACGTAGGTGGTACCTGAGGACATGCGCATGGCAATATTCAGGTGTATGTTACATAGGTGTTGTGCGGTTAAAAAGGGTTCTGTCTTCTGTCTGTCTGTCTGTCTGTCTGTCTGTCTGTCTGATCTTCAGGGCTGTTTTTAAAATTTCGTTATTAAACCCAAATTGGCGGTATACTGTTTTTCTTCTTCTTCTTCTTCTTCAAGTGCCGTGTCCTCTCAAAACATTGGCGATCAGTCGCATGATCTTCACTTTGTCCGCAGCAGATCTAAACAATATGACGGTGCTTACTTCATACCACTGACGAAGATTTTTGAGCCAGGACGTTCTCCGCATGACCTTTCCCTTGCATGATTACAGGGAGCAATTCATATTTTTTATGTTTTATTACGTGAGCAAAATACTCCCATCTTTTTTTTTATGGTATTAAGTACCTCTCTTTCATTCTTCATATGTTGCAGACCCCTTGATTCCTCACTCTGTATGCCCATGATATCCTCAACATTCTTAGACATTGTTTCAGTGAGGGTGCATGCTTCCATACCCTAGAATAATATGCTAAAGACGTAGTATTATTAAGGGAATTCTTAATGCTCTGTTGGTTAGTTTTGGTTAGTTTTGCATATTCTTAAAAGATGTTGTACATTGCTTTTACTAAATACAATTTTTGTTTTCCTGAAGTTCTCACACCACGTCACATGATTTTATTACTCGGTATATTAACTTCTGCAATCCCTCAGCACAATCTGCTACGAGAATTGTATCGTCCGCGTACCTTAAATTACTGATGGTCTATTCATTGATCTTAATGTCTTTTTCTGTTTCATTTAGTTCATATAATGCGCTGCAATATAACGAGAATAATAAGTACCAAAACGTGTAGGCAGTACCATTTCTATACCACAATTGATTGGTTGGTACAATTGATAACCCTTAGAAGGTATTCTATTTCTCCAGTCTTAACGCTATTAAATGCTAAATTTACAATTACAATTTACAAATCACATTTTAAACTCTTTCAGTTAATAGTTTTGCGTTTTTTATAGACATGAATTACCTGCAACAAATGTTCGTGTACATTCTTTCACAGCGTTAGAAAAGTAAACAGTTACGATCTTTGTAATCATGATTCCAAATTGCCTTAACAAGAATTTGCTAGCATTATACCTTGTTCTAACACAGATCTTCAACTTAGACAAACAGGTGTCGCAAAGGATCCGAGGATCCAAGATTTAGATCACATTGTTCGTGGGGCGAAATAATCAATATTTTAAAAACGTTTAAGCAGATGACAGCGGAACTGCTTTGTTGCTCAAAAAATCGAATTATATTCTTCAAAATATCTCAAAATACCGTGTTTTAGTTTAGTTTCAGCGTATGCAATTTTAAGGCGGATCGGGAACGCTTAAAGAAACCTCGTTAGGTTCGTTCCAGCATTCGAATGATTCACAGCACGGAGTTAACCATCCCCGCCAGAAAAACACAACTCCCATATCTCTATCATCCAATGTTTCGTCGGGATTAGATTAGAGACCGAGTTAACTGTCTATCGGGAGCTCTAATGCAATAATCTGGACTCTCCGGGGTCTATCAGGGTCAGTTAATGTTAGCCTGGAACGAAGAGATTGTATGCTGGGTAGGGGCAGATGGTGTGGAGACGGACGTGTTTAATGACAGTTTGAACTTCTTAATTATTATAGGAACGTCTAAAAATAATATCTAATTAGAAAGAAACTAACGGTATACACTGATTGAGCCTCTATCAAATAGATATAAGGGCAAAAATTGAAAAAAAAATATCGCTATGTGAAATAATCAATAAAAAATAATTTAATCATATGCAAAACCTTTATGGACTTGTGAGTTAGTTAAAAAAATGTAAATCTACATATATATTTTGGTCACTTTTGACAGTTTTGTTTTAATATTCACCATCACCCTACAGCATAACCATGTACTGCTTAAATTTTTTAATAAGTAGATTGTGTGGCGCGTTGTACAAGGGTGTAAATTTGGGGTAAATCGTTTCGATGAAATAATAAAACCAAATTGTCTATCAAAATTTCAAAACACCATGTATCTTATTAAGGAAAACGTAATAAGATTTTGACAAATGATTGCATTGAAGGTGAATTGAAACGGAATCGACTAGACGTGATATAAAATTGGTACAATAGAATAAAAAAATTACTGTATTAACTGATATAATTCTTGCTTTACATGTTCTTATTTCATGATCAAACAATATTTTCCTCTAAATATTTGTACAAAAATATTGGAATTTATTAAAAAAATTTACGTTTAACTGATCTTTTTTATTTCTTAAAAAAGGGAAGAAAAGTAATTTTTTGGGCCAATTAACGCAATAGTGATTAATTTTATTTCTAAATAATACACACAAATATGCTTTATCATGTCATACAAATCATAAAATAAAATTAAAAATTGAACTGATGTGGCTTTTACTTGATGAAAATCCATTTATCAAAATAAATAAGAACTAAAAGTTCAGATTTTCACGAAATTATATATTTTGACATGACAATTGTTTCGGCAGCACCGTGTCTTTATCAAATGTTGATGAGATTTGATAAAGACACGGTGTTGTGGAAACAATTGTCATGTCAAAATATATAATTTCGTGAAAATCTGAACTTTTAGTTCTTATTTATTTTGAAAATAAAATTAACTATTTTTGTTATTACATTACTGTTTATATAATTTTATTTATGAAATAATTTGCAAAGTTATTATTTATAAAACTAAATCAATATCCACACACATCTCACAAATAAAAAGTTTATTTTGCCGGATGCATTTCAGTCTAGATCGAGTTCACCGCCGTTAGAGCGAAGAATATAAAAGCTTTCCTCCACACTAACCAATCAAGCACTTAATATTCGGCCGTTTTTCACTGTCGAAATTTGACAGTTTCCATATATTAATACTTTTTTTAAAGCCCGAGAATATTCCACAAGAATAGCGTGGCTAGATAAATGGTCGGCCAGTATTTATTTTAAACCGCGATCTCTAATTTATGACGGGCGTTAAAGATGAAGGGGACGTTGTCTACATGATGCAGTGCTCGATATTACGGGTACTTGTAAACATGAGATGGGTTTGAAATGGTCGTAATATTTTATACACCAAAGCAAGCGGCTGCGGCTACTCGTTCAAACCAAGTCCAGGCCATCTTATATGTCTGGGTCGTAATTTAAAACAAATGTTATAAGAAATCTGCACAGATTTTTAAAGCATGATTTGTTTATATGATCGCTTTTGGAATGAAACTCTTATATAATTTTTGTGTTTTAACTATTATACCAATATTCCACTAATATATAAATAAATGGTGCGATAGAGTTCTCCAAACCTTATACACCATTTTTACAACATTTAATTTTGGTAAATTTTTATGAATCGCAGGCCTACCTCGCTTGGGTCTCTCCTTGTAACCCCCAATAAATAGATTCACTATTCCGCAATGACGTTCCAGAACCGTACTTCAGTCCTTCGTGCATACAAGCGCTGAAAGCTGATGGATTTGTGTAGTTTCATCGGTAAGATTCCACTATTATTATTACTCCATGCAGTGACAAATCCACCATATTAATAATTTATTCTGGCACTAGTCTATTTCGGTAATTTTTTTTGCTTCGATGACATGTTCTATACATTTTTTCCAACTAGAAACAGATATTTTTTCTACTTCGCTTCTAATTAATTTCATTGCCCCAGAACTAAATTTCGGCGAGGTGTTGTTTCTTCTTAAACTGGGTTTCAGCTGTCCCCATATCAGGTCTATCGGATTAAAATTGCAGTGATATGGTGGAAGACGGACAAATTTGAATGAATAATGCTTCTTATCAAACTGTCCCGTCTTAAGAACTTCCAATAATTGCTTCTTTGTGTAGAAATTTTCAAAATACAAATCAGTTTAACCTTTCTAATATGGTTTTAATAACCTCTCTAATGGGCAAATTCAACTTAAAACCGTACCTCAAGTAGGGACTGTTTTAGGAAGATTTATAAAAAGCAAACTAATATCAATTAATATAACAGTTTAATCAAAGAAAGTTTCCTTACTCTTAATATATAACAGTCCGTAGGGCATAGTTCTTGTCGGCTAACATCTTGTGGTACACGTACTGAAAAGAATGGTCCCTTACGATTTATAACAGGCGAGTCTTAAACTCATTCCGAAGTCAAAACTATAAAAGGTTGTAAAAACTGTATAAACGGTATATCGTTTGGAGAACTCTACTCGAGTCAGAGTGTGTTACGTTCATATAAGTGCATTGTTTTGTGATTCCTCAGGTAGGTGACCTTATAAACATTAGCAATCAGTTGACGTATAATACATTGAGGTTCTCTTTCTTATTCCCATCAACACGCAATTGAAAAATGAAGTCACAGCGACCAACATATAAACTACTGTATACTGCGATTGATGAACCTCTACGCTTCCAAGGCCGCGTGACGCGCATCTAGTAATCATTGTTAAAGCATCCACCTGTTTAGTTTTAAAGTGGTTCCCAATATTATATTAATAAAACCATAGTTACTAACCATATTGTTCCTGGAAACCAAAGAACTTCGAACTCTACATATTACACTTATTGTCCGTTATCAAGCGTAAAGCGATAACGGACAGTTATCCATTCTTCCGAAACGTTGTGCAGTTAAGTAAAAAGAAATATAATTGAAATTCGAAGTTCTTTTAGTCTCCACAACGAAACATTGTCTCGTACATTCATATTGTTACTAATTTCCACTTAAAAATATTTCGTCCTCATTCAAAATACAGTTAAATATAAAAGTCTTGGTTATTGACTGTACCAAAAATGTCAACAAAAAATTACATTTCCATATTTTTCCTTTTTTATATATTACATTATATAATATGTGTTGACATTGTGCCAAAATCTGATGCGAGTTAGTCATGATCATATATATTCGGAGTTCGTTTAAAAATATGTACAAAAGTGCCTCCGAACCATCTGTACCAATTTCTGAACCAGGATATTCTCCGTTATCCAGGTCTTCCCTTGTCCAGTACAATTGGGGCAAGTAATATCGATGTGCTTTTAATATGATGAAGATATTCAGGTTTTTTGTTTTTCTCCAGTGGGGATGATCTATGTTGTACCATATACATTGTGGCATTACAATGGAGACAGAAGAGTTTATTTATTCATTATATTGTTTCACATTCGTAAGTTTGTTTTGTAGGTCTTCAAAATAAATTATCGGTCAGCATCTTCAGCATATCTGATAGTGTTAATCGGCAGAAAATATTATTACTTTTTCATAACAAATCGGCATCACTTGTTACACCCTATATAAATAAAGAAAACATTTCACATTCGTTGTTCAATTATTAACTGCTCTGTAAAATATATTCGATCAAAATTCTGATAAAGTCAAATTAGCCATTACGAATAGACGAACAGAAAATATGGTTGTCAATAAAGTTTTGCGGTAGACCGGGCATAGGAAACCGAAGGGCGTGTAAAATCACGCTGTTATCGCCTAAAGCTTTCATGCGCCAGACGTTGTCGACAAGCAGGAAGCTGACTGCTCGGTCTGATAAAAAATGACACTGTGTGGGGTCGGGGAATAACGGGAAAAATTGTGTTTTAATGTTGGTTGGATGCGAGCCAAGAGCCAATATACAGATAAGCGAGCCTTACACGGACTTGCTTGACGTATTTTGCTAATCATATCACACGAGCCTAACTACTTGGAACTTATGATAACCCGGCTTTACAAAGTTAGCAGGCGTGATTATTAGTTATTTGTTAAACATTTCTACCAAAACCAGATGAATATATACGTAATATCTTAGATGGAACTGACACCAACCAAAATTCCGTCACATTATACATTTTCAATTAAGCAAATCAAGCAAAAATTAAGCGAATTAAGCAAAAATTAAAATCAGGCAAATTCCAACTCTAAGTGGAACAAAAAACACTGCATTCAATTTTTAACAAGTTTGATGACAATGAGCGGAAAATTCAATAAAACTAGCGGTCGATAAAATTTTTGTATAGTCAAATATATCAATATCTAAGCTGTAAGCGAAATTGTCAAGTTGCATTTTTCTAGATATTCATAGTTGCCTGAGGTATTTCATTATTGCTTTGACTGTTCATCTAGTACGCCTGTCAAAGCTTTTTAATTTATAAATCTGTTATAGAAACATTAAAGTTTGACCATCTTGATTTTCGATGTCAGTGAACCCCTGTATATTTTACATAGAGAATAAAATTTAACCATTTCGAACTGTTCTTGAAATTTTGAATCATTTTAAAAATTACCAACAGCAGAAACTAAATAATAATCACCAACTTCACTGACAGTTGGGGTGAAGTTTTATTACGTAATTTTTACTTCTTGTTTATTTATCGTGTTTACTTGACAGTTTGGCAGAACACAATCACAGTGAACAACATATTGAATAAAATTTGTTTATGTAAATTTCTATTTCGTTTTAGCAAATGGGTTTTGAAAAGTTTTTTTTAATCCATTGTAGTCAAGATGATTTCGAGCATTTAAACTAAAAGTGTCCACAACCACAACCTAATACGAAAATGGCGTCGTATGTTTAACATTTGACAGATATCAGCGTTTTGATTCACCCAAAGCTAAATAGAAAACTTCCTTAAAAAACTAAAAATAGTGAGACACTTGAAATGATACAATAACAATGTAATATTTTTTTCTGAATAAAAAGATCTGTTCAGGGAGCTGAAAATATACAGGGGCTCATTTACATCGAAAACCAAAATGGTGCTTCGATGGTGATTTGAAAGATCTGACTTGACTTCCTCGAGCAAATTTACTCTTTTAAAATTTGAGTATTTAAAAATGTGAAAATTGCAAATTCCAAAAGATTCAATTTTGAGCGATACACTTAAAATAAAATCTTCAGAAAATATTATTTTCTTAACAATATAAAAATGGTCATAAAATTAGTTTACAAAAATTGTGTTTTTTTTTTTAATAGAATAAGTCTTTCTTTGTGATATAAACATTCTAGATTTTTCTTCATATTTTAAGGTGATTGATAAAAAATAAAAAATTCCAACAGTGGATTTATCTAAGCGTGGGCAAAAATATCTAGAAAAAAAAACTAGACGAAAGAGGATGGCGAAAAAAAATCGAAACCAATAAATAAATTAACCATAAGTTAACCATAAATTAACCATATTTTTTGTACTTATTTTCTTTTCCTTCATTGATCAAGTTTTTTTGTTTGTTTGTTTGTGTTGTTTTTTAAAATAAAACATGCCTGAAAGACACATAAAAAATAAAAGTAGCGCGCGCAGTGAAGTGATTCACTTCAGTAAATAATCAAGATGACTTGTAAATAGCCCTTTCACAAACAAATCCGTTTTAATTCCAGGTAAAAGACATTTGTAACGAGCTCGAGGTACGTTCCTTGTGCCACAAGATCCTCCAAAATGTCTCCATGCTTCTTCACGCGGACAGAGGCTCCCTCTTCCTCGTCCAGGGCGAGAGAAGCGGAGCGGGCCCGCCCCCGCAATCTAGTCCGCTGGGCAATCACCCACGCAGCAGGTGCTTGGTATCCAAGCTATTCGACGTGTGTTCGCGCAGCACCCTGATGGAGATGGAGAAAAAGGACGAAATCCGAGTTCCGTGGGGAACCGGAATCGTGGGATACGTGGCTGAAAGCGGGGAACCCGTGAATATACCCGATGCTTATGCGGTAAGTCATTTTAAATCTATGTATGTTGATTGCCCTGAGAACAGACCAGGAAATTTAGAACTAAATTTAAGTACCGACGTAAACTGAGATTCGCAGTCGGTCGCTCTTTCTTGGTTTAAATGGCGCATTTTCTAGGGACAAACAAAGTGAGGTTTAGTAGTAGCGTAATAGTGTGCTTTATTCAATTCGCAGAATAAACCTGGGACGGTTCAAAATTGTTATATTGCGATTGTATAATTAGCTTTTAAACTTTAATGATACGGTAGTTCAAATGACATTAAAATTGTATATTTAGGTTCATAATGTTCTGAAGAATAAATATTTTGGTTCTTCTAAAACTTTTCTTAGATCATCTTTGATCATTTAATTTTGATATCTTACAGCAAATACCTTTTATTTCATTTAAACACTTTCTCTTCATCTCTAAAAGTAACCCGTACAGTCCGTCCCATTGAGAAAGTGGTCTCTATACATTGTTATGCATAAGTATGCTGATAGGCACTTTTAATTCCAATATCAAGCACGTTTCAACCAAAGACCCGTCATTTAAAAGCTCTCTTGTAACCAATAAGACTTCGTGGCATTCATCAATCAACTTAACCGCAGATTGGCATGATGTGACATTTTTTGGACAGTATTTTGTCAAAATATGCTGAAATCCTGTTAAATTTTCAGAAAAGATAATTTAAATGTTTTGAGATCGTTGTTTAGGAAGAAAATTTTATAGCATAGATTAGGGTGTAGCAATTTTACGGTTTTAGGTCCCTATATTATCTAATAGGTATATGCTTTAAGTAAACCATCAAGCAACCAACCAAACCAATTATTTTTAAGCACATAGGAAAAGGAATTTTAAAGAAACTCGAAGCCATATTTTGGTGTACGAACGTGTACACTATTTGAAGTGATCATAAAGTAAGCCAAACCCACCCCAAAAGTGGAACGGGTATTTCCCTAACTCTAAAAATATAACCTATTTAAAATATAAAACTAAAGTAATCCAAAAATTTGAAAAATTAAAAATTAAAAAAAAAACCTTCTCTAGCTAATCTAGAACTCTTGCCGAGGTTCTCTAGAAGCGCCATTATTGCGCTTAATCAAACCCTTAATGATTTCTCAATAAGTCAGGTTTATTCGAACATTTTGCAAACCTAAAATGGAAACAAACCACTCATCAATACTATAGTGAAAATCAAAATTTTCTGAATTGGCTGTAATTTTGTTGAATTCATTGCACGTATTTCGATAAGCCAAAACACATCCACACTTATTTGGGTGCTTATGCAAAATGTACATTTACCTAAAATCGACTTGGTGATAATGGTAAATGAAAACGTCAAATTAAAATAATCATTGTAGAAGGTACTAATTGGATGAGGTCTAGCGGCTTTGCTAATCGATCGTAATAATTCGCACACGTTCAAAAAGTTCGCTGTACATTAGTTTTATGGTTATAATAAAATTCTATCCTTGGTTTTACTTCTGACCAGCATCACCGTTCTTGTTTTGGCATGCCGTCCCTCTATTTAGAATGTATTGAAAATGCTCAGGGTCACAAACAAACTGCAAAAATTTGAAATTTTACTTGACAATCGCTGTTACAAAACACAAATTAACCACTTTTCAGACGATATTGTTATTGATATGGTTTTGACAATGTATAGTTGATATACAGTGAATTGATCTATGAAAGAAATGCACAATATATGCAATGCAAAAAATATTACGACTCGATGTACAGAGTGTGCCAAATTTGATCTTTTTTGGAGTGGAGTGTAGTTCGTGACCCACTAGGGCTTTTTGAAAATTTCGGATTGTACGAGGCTTGTATTTATTTGCGAAAATTTTGTCTTCATGTAGAATGAGTCTGTACTGATATTTTTTACAAATAACGATTTTTCTAGAACATCTTACAACATCTTATCGAGATATCACTCAAAGTTTGTAAATCGAATTTGGCTTTAAGGAAATATCCACTGTTTGTTAACGTCAATTTTATTCCAAGGATAGAATTGAAATAAAATACCGACTGTTCTATGAATTAGCAAAAATGGCAACTTTGCGTGGTATCTCGAAGAATAGATGTTTTAGAATGTTTTCAAAAAATATCTGTTCCGCGTGTCTCGAAAACTACATCAAATATCGAGATGAGGTTTTCTATATTTGAACTTGTCTCGAAAATCAGAGACATGTCCTAGTCTACAATTAATTTAATTTAATTTAAATTATTTAAGCACCTTGTGCGAAAATAAATATTTTAACTGTATACACGAGAATTAACTTAACTTTTAGTTACTTTGAAGAGTGAAGCCTAAAGAGAAAGTATAATACTCTAATTGAAATGATATGTAAATAAAAGGTTTCATGTGAATGTATGTGATATTCTTAGTTTTTTGGTTTTAATATTTTTGTATTCTTTTTATGTTTTGTTAAAAATTTCTGGTCTAGTAAAATTGGCAGACCAAATTAAATTTTGTATACCTTTGTTATACGACAGATACGAAATACATTTACAATACAAGTATATAAAATATTCGTGAATTCCAAATCACCATTTACAGTTTTTAATATCCTTTTCGCATATAGATGCAAAAGAAACATTTTAGAACTTCTGCGCGCTTAGCACCTTACAGTTTCGAATTAGGCGTTCGTGTGTAAACACTGCGCTTGGAAATTTTCATTTCGGTCCGATGACCAAATCTAATTTTGCAACAAATGTGTATACCCTTTGAAATTCACAGTTAGAGAAAATTCATATCGCGTGTTCCTTTCAACCTGATTAAATCTTTATGCCGGCATCGGGAGACTTACGCACGAAAACCCGGAAATAAACAGTAAATCGCCGGAGAAGAATCGGTCGAAAGTAAACTGCCATTTACTCTATTGTTACGATCGGGATCAAATCTAATTGTAAAGCCCCAGAGTAGATTGGATCGAAGGGTTTCGGTAGCTGTACCTGTTTTTAAGAGAAAATCGAACTGGGAATTTGGGTTCTTAATTAACGCCAAAGAACGCTTCAGTTTCCAGTTGCATCGATAAAAATTTCCTATACCGGGCGCCATTGAATTTTTTGGCGTGTGGTGGAACATTAAGAAACGTCAAGCAGAGCGACATGATTTTGATCCTTAGAGAATGTCCTTATTTCTTATAGCAGGAAACCATTCATGTACAAGTTCTAAGTGAAAGTCCATACTGCAGTTAAAAAATACCTTAACCACTGTTGTGGCAAAAAAAGACTGAATACCACAAAGTACACTTCCTAGTATGTTAATAATCAACGAATTTAATTTAGATTATTCCAGTTACTTTTTACAAAACTTCTAGATTCCTCCTGCATCGGTGCTGAGTCGAAATTGCTGATGTCTTGCCAATCATCCTGTTGGCTTCTTCAGAGCTCGACCGAAATTGGCTAGCATTTTACTCTGTACCTGCTTATATTGTTTGATGAGGACAGATTGTTAGGTTGTTTATAGATTTCTATAGACTCTCGGATTTTTCGTGAGCCTAGTTGATATTTTTCGTCCGGTCTCTCCAATGTACTCTTTGCCGCATCAAATGGAATTTTGTCTTTGACTGATCGAAGACGTTGAGAGATTATATTTCTTTAGAACTTTTGATATGTGGTCAGTGATGTTTTGAATATAAGAAAGGACAACAGTGGCAAGTGTAGGATTGCTTTAGGCTTCATTGCTATTGGTGTCTGAATGAATATTAGTAAAAGATTCAAGATATTCTTACAGACGGATCATATCGTCAACTTAAAAAAGATCCTACGTTATCTATGGAAAGCAACCTTAAATCTATCATTAAGGCTCCTTCTCTATCAGACTCCGTGAAAAAATCTGTCACCCCTCATGACTCTAAAATTCCTTGTTTCTACGGACTCCCAAAGATTCACAAACCAGGATTACCCCTTCTACCTATTTTCAGCACCATTGGTTCTCCAACATATTCTCTAGCAAAATATCTAGCTTCCTTATTAAAACCCTTTACAGGGAAAACTGACAGTTTCATACTTAATTCCTTTCACTTCATTGAACAACTAAAAAGCACCACATTAGATACACAAGATATTGTAGTTAGTTTCGACGTAGAATCCCTCTTTACCAGAGCCAGAAACTCTTGAGATCATTTCAGATATATTAAAATCTGAGAATCTGGAACCAATCCTTCTCACCTTAATTGAAAAATGCTTATCGGGAACATATTTTTCTTATAACGGTAAATTTTTTGAACAAACGTCTGGAACAGCTATGGGTTCTCCACTATCACCAGTCATCGCGAATATATTTCAGTCTTTGAGAAGAAACCTTCCATTTAAAACCAAAATTATGGAAACGCTACGTCGATGATACTTGTGTTATTTGGCCTCTTGGTCAAGAAACCCTAGTAGATTTTCTTAGACATTTAAACTCGATACACCCTAATATATGTTTTACCATTAAGTTGGAAGCTAATACTAACCTTCCATTCTTAGATATTGTTATCAATAGAAAATCAGACCGGTCGGTCATTGTGTTTGCAGAAAACCTACACTCACAGACCGATACCGTAATGCATGGTCACATCACCATCCGGCCCAAAAATCATCGGTTATCAACTCTCTTGTTTACAGAGCCGTAAAACTATCTCAGCCCGAGTCACTGAAAACAGAATTAAAACACCTTATCTCTGCTCTTCTCTATAATAATTTCCACATTAAAGATATTAAGCGTTCTATAAAAAAATACACTTCACCACAACTTTCCAATAGCAATGAGGCCGAAAGTAATCCTACACTTAACACTGTGGTCCTTCCTTACATTTAAAACATCACTGACCACATATCAAAAGTTCTCAAGAAATATAACGTCAAAAGCAGATTTACCACTTGTCCAAAAATCTCTCAAAGTCTTCGGTCCGGCAAAGACAAAATTCCATTCGAGATGCCAGAAGTTTACAGCATTCCATGCATATGCGGCAAAAAATACATTGGAGAGACCGGACGAAAAATATCAACTAGGCTCAAAGAACACGACGGAGCCTTACGACTAAGACCAATAAACTCATCAGCTGTTGCCGAACACATTCATGAAACCGGACATAAAATTTTATTCGATAAAACTATAATTCTTGCATGTAATCAGTTCTTCTACCAACGAAAAATCCGAGAGTCTATAACAATCTTAACCGCGACTCAGGTCACCAATTTGGGAATCAGTCATCCGAGACGGTGTTTAAGCCCCGCCTCTCATTAGCGCCCCCCTCAAACAATATATAAGCAGGTACAGAATAAAATACGAGCCAGTTTGAGTCAAGCTCTGAAGAAGCCCACAGGATGATTGGCGAAACGTCAGCAATTTCGACGCAGGAGGAATCCAGAAGTTTTGTAAAAAGTCTTACAGTAGCATGTGGAAGTTTCTTTGAAAAATATTCCAGTTACGTTTAAAATGTTTATTTGACTTCAAACTCAAATTCAAAGAAAGTGAAACTTTTCGAAACATCTGAAAATTATGAATATAGTCCAAACATTGGTATTCATTGTTGTTGTTGTTCTAACGTGTTTTTAGTGTTTACGCTTGCACTGCTACCTTTTAAGAGAAAATTTGTATGAGGAATTTCTCATTCACGGAGCTTAATTGGGACCCGAACATAATTGTCGCCGAAATGAAAAATTATGTTAGATTTATGATGCGGAAGAATGTAGATTTCCCCAGTGTTTCCGCAGAATTGTCGCAATTTTTCTTTATTAATGTTTCATATTAAGCTGGGAATAAATTTATACGTTTTGATAACTCGCCGAAAGATGAAATTTTAATGCCCGCGCGGATAGGTGGATATTCAGTGCGTCCATAATGATTCATAGCAAAAATTATACTCATTTGCGGTGATTTTTCTAGTACTTATCAAACAGCGGTGGCACTAAATTAATTGGTGTTAGTTGGTGTTCTAAAAATGGGTATAATTCCGACTATAATAACATTTTGCTGAGAAACTGAAGAATGTTAGGTAATTTATTTTGAAGTTATTAATAGAAGCATGAAAAATCAAAACGGGCTTTTTTACTGCCACATTCTAGAGGCAGTAGAGACAATATATAAAAAGTCTCACCAATGTTGACCAAATGCATTATTTGTTTCTTAGTTGCTTATTTGTTTATAAATAATAAAACATTTTTTTTTATATAGAGGAATATGTTGCTTCCGAACGATTTTTTTTATCAGAAAATTCTTTTAACTTGTACAATGTTGGAAAGGAAATCCACTATACGATCTGGAAACCCATAGGAGATAAGGAAAAAGGTTCGCACAAAAGTTTCTTGGACTCTCCTCAAGCATCAAGCGGCATCAACTTTGTTATTTTAAATGGAACACCCTGTATATTTCATCATTTTTGCAATCTTTGGTTAAAATAAAGGCCAATTTCTTAAGAAATTCCTTTTCGAATTTTGTCTAGTTTAGGTAGAAATTAAGGTTACGTGTGTGTTTTTTTTTTCATATTTTAATTGCCTCATATAAAATTGTATTGTGATGCTACTATTGCAACGAAAATTTAACCACAGACCAGAGAGATGATGCACTACTTAATCGGTTTGACAGATGCGCCCCAGTTTATACAAGGTGTCCCAAATAGGTTGTGCCGTTTTGGCGAATTCAATTAACAAAATCTGAAGATTTTCAATTGGAACATACTATATAATTATTCGGATATCAATTCTAGGTAATTTTTCTTATATTTAAATTTTACTTTTTGAGATATTCGAGGTTTAAAAAATTAGAAATAAGATTCTTATATTAAATAATAGTTATGTAGACAATATATTGAAAATAAAACAATATATTGAAAATATATTATATTAGTTATTTGTTTCTGTTTTTGTTTTGTTTTCTACATTTATTTATTCAAATTTTTTACCTTGTTTAGTTAGCCTATAAACTTCAATCAAGGTAGATAATGAACCATTAAATGTTTGTTTAAATATTTGAATTTTTTTCAAAATATCCACGTATTAATGGACACCCTGTATTGTTAGCAACAGGTTTTGTTCGCATATCTGGAGTATTATATCTTGCCTTTGCAATTTAAAAAATACCTATTATTGCCAACAAGTGACCTAATGTAGGCAGCTTTTAACTCAAAAAGAATTTATCCGGGTGTTACCTTAAACATCGAATATCTCAACAAGTAAGTAAAATTTACATATAAGATAAATTACAAATATACCTTATTTTGTATCTTAGAATTGTAGAAGCTGAGGCGCATCTGTCAAAATGATTGAGTAGTAGATGATCTTCTATGTGGTTAAATTTTCGTTGCAATACCAAGATCAGTAGCGTCACATCACAATTTTTGCCTAAACTAGGTAAAATTCGAATAGGAATTTCTTAAGAACGGGACCTTTATTTTAACCAAGGATTCCAAAAATGTCGAAATATACAGGAGGTTCCATTTAAAGAAGAAAATTATAATGTTTTAAATCTTTAAATCAAGAAACTTTTGTACGAAACTTTTTTTCGTATCTCTATGGGTTTTCAGATTATATAGTGGATCGTTTTATTTGGCACACGATGTACCTAGTTTGTTCCACTGCCGTTACGGGTTGCACAGAAAAATGTCCGTAATGAAATCTTAAAAAAAAAACATGCTTCCACGAAAAATAATATTTCTCCGAAAGCCCCGACGAATCAAAATTCCCAATTGAAGTATCGTTAATAATTCATGTGGTGTCCCCGGCATATGATCAATAACGTCGGTTAAAATTCCTCCGGGGATCATTAGCTCCCGATATGGCGTGGGCGAAATATAAAAATGAGATCAAATAATAGCCGCCAACATGGCGATAATGGCCAATAATTAACCTGCAATTGGTTCTTATTGCTTCTGGAACCATAGATGTGTTTAACGCATTGTTTATGGGAGGTTTTGCTCTTTGTGGGTGGTCTATCTGCAGGGTATCATGAAACCCGGACGTACAGGGTCTCCCAAATTATAGCAACTAACGTGCCGGGGATATCCGGAAAAATTCAACGTTTAAAAAATTGTTTTGCTACTTTTATTACTTATTTCCGATTTATTTAGATGCATTATAACGGTCCTAATACATTATTGTCTTAAGAATGACTCTACAGTTCAGATGGTCATAAAGAATAGGCAAGAAAATAAATAATTATTTATTAAAATAAATATAATTAAAATATTATTAAACGGAACCACTAAAGTACGTCTTGAAAAACTAATTCAAGAACGTAAATTCACAAATTTAAGCCAATGACTTTGAAGGGGCAGAAAAATCCGTTTTAGATTCTTGAAATTCCAGTCGCAATATATTTCTTCAGACAAAATTTGAACTTTGCCTATTTTGGTCTACTTGTTTTTAAATTTTGGGTTTTTTTTGGATGACACAAATGCAGTGTATTTTATTAGTAATGGAAAAACGGACACTGTGGAACGTGGCATATTTTAACCACTAGAAGACATCGATTTGACATTGTCGGGTCTTGGATTTTAATTGAATAGTTTTTTATGGGTTTAGAAACTTCGTGTGGCTAAAAATCAGAGTCCCAGCAATGTTCATCTTAATTTAATAGTTTTTCCAGCAATCGACCGACCTTTCATTCCTATCCAACCAGCGGCACTCGAGGGTAACGTTATTATAAAACCGCATATATATTTTCCAGATTTATTCGAAAACAGAAGCAGTTCGTTACGGTTCGCTTCCGTTTTTAAACAAAATTTACGTCCTATTGAAAATCAAGCGCGCATCACGTGCCCGGTTAATAACTAAAAATGGGGTTTGTGCCCGCTTGTTTTATATTCATTCTTTTTAGCGTTATACGCTTATCCAATTAGTCCTGTGATGTGTGAAAAGGCTGAGCATTTGGTTGGTTTAATGTAAAATTTAAACTTCACATAATTAGCAAAACCGCATTCTTTTAAAAAAAAACGTCAACCCAGGTATTACAAGACATTGCTTTAAAGCTAGCTTCTTATATTAGGCCTTTTTACCCTTGTGCTTAGTTTTGTGTGCGTATCTGTGATGTAGGCCACTAGCCGTCTTGCCGTTTTTTAGTGATCTTTTTCATTTTTGTCTTCAATCCCTCTCTATATAAGCTAATCTTTGGAATATGCTGGTCCCATTTCCTTCTCTGTCTTCTCCACAATAAATTATCCTGACCATTCCGCACTCTGTTTTCCCTGCTGTTGAACTCAACGTTTTCATTTCATGAAAATGAAAACAATTGCCCACTTTGTTTGCCCTCTGGGAACCAATAAACAACTGATTGTGACCTCAGCATAATACTAGTACTGTATGTTTTATTTTTGTAATTTCAGGATGACCGTTTCAACCATGACATAGACGCTTTGACGGGGTATCGAACGAAGACACTCTTGTGTATGCCGATCAAAGACACCAACGGGGACGTCATTGGGGTTGCGCAAGTAAGTGTTGGTATTAGTTATTAATTCGAATGTGCCGTAAGTTAATCTCTCTCGTTCTTTCCTAAGTCTATATGCAAAACTGTATTGATAGTTTAAAACTAATCGAACTGAATCGAAAATAATATATGGCTAGTTAAAAATATAGAAAGTTCGATTCGATTTTTCCAAAGTATCTACCATCGTATAAAAATGTTATATCTCGGTAACGACACGTGCTATGGGATCGCCATTGGTACAGAAATGATCAGCGTCGGAAAAAAAATTGTTTTTGTCTGTTTGTCCGTTCTCCGTTCTCATCTTTTGGTTTTTCCTTAATAACTTTTGAAACGTTGGAGCTTCAAAAAAGATCATTTTTCTATTAACATTTTACTATTAACCAGATCGACAAAATTCCAACCAAAAAACCAAAAGGCGCGAAATATCCGGTACTATAACATTAATTTTAAGCATTTTTTCGATTATTTACAGAGTTTTTCAATTATAGACAAAAATATAAAAGACACTGAAAATTATTCTTTTCCGGAGTAAATTATTTGCCGTAAATCAAAATTTGTAGAATATATGGCTAATTGGTTTAAACGGTATTATAGGCCGCATTAAAGGCTCCAATTTTTGTATTTACGGTTTTCGTATATTACATACGCTGTTCGAGATATTTAAAAAAATCCAAATGAAAATTACCACCCCCAATCTAGACGCAATGACGTAATTTACTATTCCCTGTACTGCATCGTTTCAGAAAACAAGTATTTTCTTGAAAACGACTTAATCGTATTCCAGGAAACGTGGGAGATCTAGGGCTATAACCTCTATTTCGAACATGGTTTGAATCATATACAAGATATGTCGTTTATGAGCAAAAAAATCTAAAATATCCCAAAAATTTCCGTTTTTGTGGGTAAATTATTCAGGATATATGAAAAACTGTTAAAGATGCGATAATTTGATGTGAACAGTATCGTAAATTGTGGTGAGAGAGATTTTCAGCCTGCGTCTTATCATACAGGGTGCGCGAGATATTTCAAAAAATGTCATTGTAAATTGCTATTATTTGTAAGAAATTTTAATATTTATCAAAGTTTGCCGCGCAAGACGGTTTATACTGGGTGTATGCACAATAAAATGACATCCATTTTGCGAAAGTTCCGTAGTGGTTCGCAGGAGCACGATAGAAATACAATGCGTCTCTCTACGACAAGAAACCGAAAGGCTACGATTTTTCGAAAGCAATGTTGTTATGTATTATTGTTATACTTAAAAGACAATTTTCAGTTATCTTCAAATATTTTCCATTACACCAATTATTTTTGGTTCAAGGTACAGCGGGCTTCAGGCACTGTACTCGCCATATTGCAAATTGATAATTGTGTAAAATTTTGAGAATTTTTATTATTATTGGTTTATGTCGATAAAACTATTATTATTAATATTATTATTTAAATAGTGCTTTAATTTTAATAAAATTCAGCAAAGCGAAATAATTTGGAGTGGTTTAGTTCGAATGCTTTGACCATACACGTTCCTTATATTTTAGTTTCCGTTTCCGTGGCCATTGATATTAGATTACCCTTAGAGTTACAGAATTTAATGTAAGTCAATCCAGGTTTATATAAAAATAGAATACGTCAAGCCAAGTGCAAGAAGCTGTGTGCTTTATTTACCCTCGCCTCAGCTATAAATATCAGGGTCTGGAGTTGAAAGCGATCGAGTTCACTGCCAAGAACTGCACGAACATGATCTTGTGCCAACATTTTAATGAATTTTGTGAGTAAAATGCTTAACTTTTTCGTTTTGCATGAGATTTATCCCAATACGATGCCGGCGACATTCTGAATGTATGTTTTGGGATATAAATTTTCGGCAATCGTGAAGAGATTTGTTTTATTTGGTTTTATTTTGTGGCATCTACGAATAAATAGAGAATAGAAGTACGGAATTTATACTTTCGCAATTCAGTGGTAAAATTGCAAATGCATGTATTTAGATGGGCTTAAACTCAAAATTGAACCTACATTGAAATATAATTTTAATGCCACTTAGGTCTCATTGTATGATATTTTGTTAACATCATTAAATTTTGGTATTAGAAGGTCGCCGCTACTGCTAGATCGGGGTATTATATATTGTAGCACTTTTTATGGTGATGAGTTTCATGGCAAACGAGGAACCTTGTAATTGCACGCCATGTTGAATTAAATTAAAATATGTAGCGCTTAAGTTCGGGATGATATCAGATCAAGTCAATGGCTTTGCCTTTAGATTAGTTAATATCTCATATAGGGTTTGAGTCCTGATATAAGGGAATTTTCAACTGTAGTTGAAGGTCTTCATTGAATTAATTAATTATATTTGTATTAATTATTATTTGTTTTTTGGTTGAATTGTTTCCTTATTGTTCAAATATTATAACGTCTTCGCCATCTGTGCTATCAGATAATTCTTTCAAGAATAATTTTACCTGATATTGAACTCAATATATAATTGAAATCTAGGTTACCGCTGATGTAAAAAGTAGCGCTCTCAACGGACCAACAGTTTCACAAACTCTGTTTCCCTCTGGATATTATCTGGAGTTATCCGGGCAAAGTTTTAGACCACGACCGTTGTTGTCGGTTTAATTTTTGCCACTAAGAGAACAAGAAACAAAAAGACTTGTCCGAATGGCGATTCAATCGATGATGTTTTATCTTTCCAGGTGATCAACAAAATGGGGGACCAACCTTTTACGAAACAAGACGAAGAAGTGTTTTCGAGTTATCTCCAGTTTTGCGGCATCGGATTAAGGAACGCCCACTTATACGAGAAGTCGCAGCTCGAAATCAAAAGAAACCAGGTGCTGCTCGACCTAGCGCGGATGATTTTCGAAGAACAGTCGACGATCGAGCACGTAGTCTTTAGGATACTGACACACACTCAAAGTCTGATACAGTGTCAACGTGTACAAGTGAGTTTGAGAACTAAATATTAATTAACACGTTCACTGCCGCGGCAATTTTCAAAAATCTGGCCAAAAATGACAATTTGATTGAGGCATATTTTCTTATTAAAAATTCTAATTCTATTCCATACGTATCAGCAAAAATCATTAAAAATGTTTTTCTTTATCGCAGGTGGTTTTTTTTTAATCGTAAATAAATACATCGTAAGTAAATACAAGACGAGATAACTGGTAGTTGGCGTCCTATAAAAGGACGCAATCTATGAGTTATCTCGTAGTTGATAGTTAACGTATTAAGCAAAATGAGGGGATTTAGAATAACAATTTTTCATACTGCAGAACTATTTTCTACCTCAAAGCTCACATAGATTTGTAATTAGTTATCATGACCAATGGAAAATAACGCAATAAAAAAAAATTGAAAGAGAAAAATATATGTATACTATTGGTTCTTTACTAAAAATTAATAAAGTGACGACAACAATTACTGTAACTAGCCAAAGTTAAAAACTGTGTACATAATATAATATAATTGGAAGAAGGCAACGAACATTTCTCTCCGTTTCGATCGTTTCATATGACAACATGTATTGTGTTGTATATTGAAAAAATATACAGCACAATTTATTTACTTCTCTTTTTTTATATTCGTAGAGAGCTCTTTAATAAAATATTGTAACACTTTTCTTCTTCTAAACCGTAAATGTCAATTAGTGCTATCACTAGACTCACGTTTTTCCTTTTCCCCACTCGACTTATAACCGACAGTTAGTTAAAATTTTATTCTATATGCAACACAAACGTAACGTTTGTTTGACAATTTTTTAATCGGAACTTGAAAGTGTCAATTGTTCTACATTTTGTATGCTGTAATATTAAAGAAAATATTAACACGCGTTGGCCACGAAAATGCGAAATATTTTTAAACAATCATTGACAACTAGTATGTAGTTTTTTGATATTTTGTTGTGTAGTTTGTGATCGTAAGTTTTGGTTACTTTAGTTTCTCGTTTCTGATCTTATGTTTTAAATTTAGATGTTTGGATCTTAGAGAGCGAGGCTATATTTCATTTCAAGTTATTAAAAAATATATGCACATAAGTAAAAACAATTCAAAGTAAATGCATCAATGTTTTACCATTTTTTAAAATCAAATCACATTCAATTTTAAAAGCTGCAAATTGTAATATTTCAAAATATCATATGATATTTGTCATACAATTATTTTTTTACTTATATCGCTCTATTACCTTCCCGCTAATTACGATGTTGGGTGCCAAGAAGTGCCAATAGCAGTAAAACAATATTTTTTAGGGACTATTTCAATAATTGATGACCGTTTGGTGTGAGCAAATAAAACAGTATTAGCAATTCCGCAAATTCGGAGCAATAACTGTAAAATAGAACATAATTTTTTATATAGTTGTTTACCTACCTAGTTAGTTTTGCGTTTTTTTCTAAATTTTTACATTAAACAGGTTGTCCTTTTTTATTTGAAAGGGAAATTAAATGGATAACATTATTTTTATGATTTAAGAACAATTTTTAAAAAATATAGTTCCGCCTAACACCTATAAATATTTGAGCTAATTATTTAGTTAATATACTTTATAATAGTAGGCACAAAATATTTCTACTTATGTGGGCTTGAAATACAACTTAAAACAATAATTAACATATCTAAAGCTAAAGTTAAAATGTAGTAATACCTGGTAAATATCAGATTTATTCAAGAAGAAAAACCCGATATTAGTTACTAATCTTGCGATAATATTTCATTTTGGGTATCAAAATCCAATTATTTTTCATAATAATTTTAGCACAGATAGAGAAATTTTAATTAAACAACAATATATAAGAACAAGAATATATAAGAACCCCCAATTCTTTCACCAGGTTGATATTTTTTATGAAGGTCTTAAACCTCCAGGCAAAAACTACCTCTATAATTGTTAATTAATTTTCTATTTCTAATTCCTTTCCACTCCTTTCTTGGAACACTGCTGGTGAAATTTTTCTGAATAATAATAATTATTATTCGAGTCGCCAAATCTAATTTATCTGCTTTATAACAACTTTTCCCGTCGAATTTAGTGAACGCCGAAGAATCTCTAAGAAAGTTCCGCAAAGCCACGAACTGCTTAAATGCCGCGACAGTTGGACCATTTTAATTATTGGATAACGTTGTTACCGAAGGGAGACTCGACGTGTTTTTGAATTTTAAATCCCATTGCCGCCCGCGGGTTAGGACGTGTTTCCTGGTTAGAGTTTAAATGGATTTTCGTGGCGTTTTCGGCGTTTATTTATTTACCCTGTTTTGCTTAGAGTGTCCCCGAGGGAAATGCGTGGGAGTTTTTTAGCTACACGCGTTTGAATCGTATACGGGGTGTCCGACCGAGAACTTCGTCGCGGTCTGTTATGGGAAAACTAGAAAATTAGATAATTACTTGGAACTTGGTTATGCATTTTTGAGACATTCTAAAGATATTTTTAAATTTTATACATAACCGTGTATATAACAAGCTTGAAGAAGATATCAGTGAAAACTAGTTTGTTTTTAGAAATATTATTCGCCTTAATTTTTCTAATACAGGGGTGTCGAGATGTGAACCAAGAACTTTTGTTCTGGTTTTTGGATTACAACAAATTATAAGTTAGAAGACTAGATAAAAACTTAAAATGGAGTAAGACAGGGATGTGTGCCTCTTATAGGCTTTTTAATCTTTACTTAGAGAAAATGATATGAGAAGGAAAATTATATTTGTTTTCCGACGATACTTTGGAAATAGCCTAGAGTAGCGCGGACCAACAAAGAACGATGGATAAAATCGTCAATAGCAGTGAAGAAGCTGGTCTTACACTTAATTCGCAATACGGAAGTAGAGAGAATGAAAGAGTACACACCTAAGTACCATGTTCAACGCGAATAAAGGATATTCACGTGAAATACGATCCAGAATAAGAATAAAAGCTGCAATGGCAAATGTGCGGAAAGTATTCTATGTTACTTTTCCTCAATCTTTCTCTACGAAATATAGTACTTAGAGTTTCTTTGTAAAAATGTAATGTAAATGTAAAAAAAGCTTAGATAGTGGACACTATAAAAACAAGGAAACTTGCTTGACTGAGTCACGTTATGCGAAAAAAAAGTTACCACGTGCTACAATTAATAATACAAAGCAAAATAAGTGCGTGAAAAAGACGCAATTGATAGCTGAGCTTAAGATTTTATAAAGAAGTTTGGTACAAAATAAATAAGATCTAAAAGTTCAGATTTTCACGAAATTATATATTATGACATGACAGTTGTTTCGACAACACCGTGTCTTTATCAACCAAGGGTTGGGTTGAGTTGTCGAGGCTGTTATATTGGACAGACCTCACAGTGGTTAAAATAACGTTTAACACAGCACAAAAGTGATTGCCGTTTTCATAAGAATACGTATGCAGTGGTTGAACATTACATAAAAACAGGACATGAATTTGAACTACAGCAATCCTAAAATTTTGCAATGTGTCAACAATTATAAAGCCCGACTCTTTCTTGAAATGTGCCATATTGACAAAAACAAAAATTTAATTAACTACAAATCTGGTACACAGCAAATAAGCAATATATACTGTAACATTTTTCAGTTAAACAACAGATAATGTAATGTTCGGCCACCGAGTAGCGTATTCGCGTTGCGTTGTTGATCCACGGAGTAGGTTATTTTTATGCTTTTTTGTCATTATTTATATCGATTGTTTTTTTATTGTTTTTTTCGCTACCCCCGTTAGCACAACTTTTGCCTACCATTATTAAGAATTGTATTATTCGTTTGTTTCATTATGTCGCTTCGTTCATTTACCTTAACTGTAAAGTATTGTTTTGAGGAACTATGTGGTAGACTCTAATTTTGTAAGTATTTCTCACGATTGTTTTAATTGTCTGTTATATAGTTTGACCTGTTGTTTTCATTAAATTTTAGTTCATTCCTGAAGAAGTCAACAAATAAATTGACGAAATATTGAGTGTTACAGAAAAAGGAGCTTTCTATTTTATTTGTTTTTTTTTTTTAACGACGGACCGCTACCCGATATCCTTTGAATTCAAGTAAGTTTAGTACGGTCGATATAAGAAGAAATTCCATTCACCTAAGATTTTGTTAGGAAATGAGGCAAAATGATCCAACAAAGCTATTTCAAGATTTTCATTGTTAGTAGGTTTATCCAGGTCCTTTTTTTATGATTTGCATTTTAATTATTTACTTATTGTATAGAAATGTCTTTGAAAAAAGTTTACAAAAACAATTAACCTTATAGCTATATGAAAAATATCTAGAATTTTGAGGGCTATTGAAAAAGTACCACAACAAGCAACTAATATTCAATTTTAGTATAATACTACATTTTCAAATTTTTATTAGTGTTTCCATAGCAGATCGACTAAATTACGGACGACACACCCCACGTTTAACCCAGGCTCCGCGTGCTTTATACTTAATTAAAAAAAGTGCGGAAAAAGTGAAAGCAAGTTTAAATCTCGTCCATAAATTTTAACTACAACGAAAGCGGAAAAAATTAGATAAGCCGGGCGGAGTGAAATCGTGAAAAATAGTATTGCCTTTTTTGGTCCCCCTCTCGAGCCGTTTCGGCGTCTCAAATCGGCCGTTTAAAACTAACGAAGGAAAATGTTTTCATTCCGGTTTATAATCAAATTCAAGCCCGTTTCAGAAATATTCGTTAATTTTTTTCGAAGGGTGTTGTGGCAAAAATAAAAAATTTTACTTTTGGGATGTTAAAGCATTTTTTTGAAAGGAACCCCCTGTAGATTACAACATGGTTAGATTAGATTACATTTCAGATTCCAAAATAGGTGTGCGTTTTTTAAATAATTAGAATTTTGTCAAATTATAACCGAAGTTGAATTTACTAAATAAATACATAAGAAGTATTTTTTATATCTCAGTTATACAGGATTTCCCATCAATCTAATAACAAATTTAAGTGGCTATAACTTGATT